CACACTTTGACATGCGATGTTTTTCGCGACGAAATTTCGAATCGTAGGACGCGATCGATTACTAAGGCTGTGAACCATTTGCCGAGTTAAATTTAACTCGTAGTTAAAAGTGACATTTCGAAAGTTATTTCTTATGTTCGAAAATCCCCGTGCTGTCGATCGACCGGTTTTCGAGCCACGGTCGTCAAAATTTAACTTCTTGTTTGTCAGAAGTAACCACGCTCGGATAGCAGGGTTAATCGATAACTTTTCATCTGTCAAATTTTAACCAAAAGTTAAAATAATCCACCAAATGGTTCAGAGCCTAAAAACAATGTCACTAGAGATAAGAAGCCCCTCGATTCAAATGAATGTGTCAAGTCCGCTGATCCAGCCAGCTGTCTGTTGTCTGATGCTAGCCATTCGCGAGTGAAGTGTACATCCTACAACAGCTTGGAACAGATAACAGTTCTAGCAGTTACTGCGCAGCTAGAAGAAAAAGGTTGATTGTGAAATTCTGTACTGTACAACGCACTGCTCATTACAAAACAATAACAATGGCAGCGTTGCAGAAAAGTTTTGCCTCTTTACTTGTACTTCGCCGTACCCAGAGTGTACCGCTGGCTCTGTATCACGCTAATGTTTTGGATCACTACGAGAATCCCCGCAATGTCGGTTCGATGGACAAGAAGGATAAAACCGTCGGAACGGGATTGGTCGGTGCTCCGGCTTGCGGTGACGTCATGAAGCTGCAAATCAAGGTCGATGAGGATGGCAAAATCATCGATGCCAAGTTCAAAACGTTTGGATGTGGTTCGGCCATCGCTTCGAGCTCGCTGGCCACCGAATGGGTAAAAGGTAAAACTTTGGATGAAGCCAAGAAACTCAAGAACACGGACATTGCTAAGGAACTGTCGCTACCGCCGGTAAAACTTCATTGCTCGATGTTGGCTGAGGATGCCATCAAGGCAGCACTCGAGGATTACAAGAAGAAACAGGACAAACAATAAGTTTACATACTTGTGCGGCTAGCTTTAGATTCTTGTAAGTTGTTGGTTATATAAGGCAATGTAAATTGAAGAGGGTTTATAGAATAAAGACACTTGAAGAAATCAATTTGTATTGTTTTTTTTTTCAGAAAGCCCGAATTTATTATTTGAATATCTCTATCTCTAATCCACCTCTACATCGAAAATAAATTTTACCAATTGTATAAAGCACCTGCAAGGCATCCCTATTAGCTACGCCAATGATTATTCGGTAACAACATCACCGTAATTTTCGATCAAGAAAAATGCAATATAGGTACTTTGACTTTTCGAAGAATCCTACACAAAGCAAACGATTTCCCAAATGTTTCACATCATGATTCCATTCTATTACCACATAGCTCTCTGAACACCGGATAGTTTATTGTAGTCTGCCAGATGCCTCCAAACAATTCGACTCACTCGCCAGCGATGCACGATGCCTCGGGATCTCGACGTGACTGCACACCGTTCCCTAACTCGAACCAGCGATGTGTCTCGAGGAAAGGCATGGATCTCAGCACTGGCCACTTCACGCAACTCAACCGGAAGGATCGTATTCTTTCGCAGCGAATTAACACGTAGACGGTCCTTGGCGTGCTCAACCACACACTTGCGGCGTTTGGCATCCTTGATCATTCGCCAATCGGTCCATTTGTTGCGTACTTGTTGAAACTAAAAACAAAATGTCGTACATAAATTCAAAATACGGTACACTATATTGTAGATCTTCTTACCCCAAAACCGGCTAAATTATGGCCGGATGTGGCAAATCTAGCAAATAAAGTAACTACGGACATCGTTCCGCAATGTTCAAAACAACGATTATATAAAGCGGATGTGCTGTGTGGTGCTGGCTGTGCTGCAGAATGGGGATAGGTGTTGTGTTGTGATTATGGAAACGTCAACAATCGTAAACATACACTGAACCAAAACATCCTCCTATAATCGAATGAAAACTGATTCGATTGCGCCCTAAGAGGAAGAGGAGACAATACGGGGGCGAAAACGAACCACTTTTATGTCAAACGCGAACCAGCTCGTGATTGGCCGATTTGAAGTGCGTAAGATAGAGATAGAAATAGATATAGATAGAGATAGAGATAGATATAGATAGAAATAGATATAGACAGAGATAGATATAGGTAAAGATAGATATAGCACAGACAAACAGACATAACACTCGCAAGTTGTTCATCTAACAAGCATTTAACGGTCAATTTAAAAGTATCGTAGTTGGTAATACCGCCACCTGTGACGCGCATAGTCAATTGCCTGCCGCCATCTGTTCAGCGTACTACCCACCACAGTGTATTCAATAGATGGCGGTAATGTTTTAGCGACGATGTTTTACAGTGATAAATATTCAATGTGTTATGTCTGTTTGTCTGTGGATATAGATAGAGATAGAGATAAAAGAGTACACGGCCAATCATACCAACTCAGCGACTGAGAATAATTGACTCAGAGAATTTTCTTTCCATACGAAATTTACTCATATTTGGAAGAAACTGCAGTTACTCATAGCTTATGAGTAACTGCAGTTTCTTCCAAATCTGAGTAAATTTCGTATGGAAAGAAAATTCTCTGAGTCAATTATTCTCAGTCGCTGAGTTGGTGAGATTGGCCGTGTAAGAAGCCAGTTGTCTCCTAATACAATACAATTACACACATTTTTATTGACAAATTTCCATGTGAAATTTCACATGATTTTCATCTGACCACACATAAACAGAATCCACCCAGAAGCACACACAAAATTTATGAGGCAAATGAATAGAATGTGTGGTTACAGATGACTTTTATGTGTACACAAATTAAGTATTTGTCCGAAACATAGGTATCATTTGTGGATCACATTGCAAAAATTCATGTGTGGGACACATAAAAACAATCTTTGAAATTTTATTAGTGTACTAACGGGTGTTCAATAAAAAATGAGAATTTTTTCAGTCATATAGCCAGTAAAACAAAAAAATTTCAACGAATTCAGTATTTTTAATTAAAAACATAATGTTTCTTCTTCAAAAAAACGTATATTGGCGAGGGCCCTGGTCAGCCGTACGACGCAACTTAGTCGCGATGCTGTCACAAGAGCGCTGAACGGCACTGAAATCATTCTCATTTTTTATTGAACACCCGTTATTTCATATGACCCGCATAAACGCGAACCATAAATTGACCTTACCTAAAATGGTTAAAAATTGTTTATAATCCCTGCTAAACTTTAACTGAAATGGTTATGGAACTTTACATGAACGTTTAATGATAAAGTTTCAACCTTATGTATTATGGTTTTTTTAAACTGGACCTTACAAATAATGGGTTGTTAAGAACCATTACCGTTCCAAATTCTTGTTTTCTCCATACAATTTCGGAAAGAGAACTATATTAGAACCTTTTAACTTATGGTTTGAGAACTTTAATGGTAATGGTTATGGTAGTCAGTAAGGTCCACGAATGGTTTTGTAACATCGATCAACTTTATGTGGAATATATCGCGAATTGGTTGCCTGTAATTTACTGATTACCAATTCACGATATATTCCACGTAAAGTTGAGCGATAATACAAAACCATTGATGGACCTTACTGACTACCATAACCATTACCATTAATGTTCTCAAATCATAAGTAAAAACGTTCTTATATAGTTCTCTTTCTGAAAATGTATGGAGAAAATAAGAATTTGGAATGGTAATGGTTCTTAACAACCCATTATTTGTAAGGTCCAGTTCCAAAAAACCATAATACATAAGGTTGAAACTTTATCATTAAACGTTCATGTAAAGTTCCATAACCATTTCAGTTAAAGTTTAGCAGGGATTATAAACAATTTTTAACCATTTTAGGTAAGGTCAATTTATGGTTCGCGTTTATGCGGGGAGACCGATATGCGATTATAAGTAGGAACATAATTTCCAATGTATCAATAAATTCTGGTCAACGGTCTTCCGTTAACTGATATGTCTATAATAATGTTAGACAGGGACTTAACTCCTACAGGCAAAAGAACGTAAGAATTCCATAAGAAACAATTTAGCGTGACAATAAATGGATCGCCCCTTAGTGAACTGCGAGTTTGTGGAGTGTATAAAAGTGAATCGCAATTGAAGAATGTTTGAGAATGGCCGAAGAATATTATAGCTTTTTACTGTTAAATATCTACAAAATTATGTATCATGTTTCTTTCTTATGTTAACATATATTAGTTTAACAAACACTTCAATGTAATAATGCAAATTTGATCACAACCTTCATGAATAACAATCAAGCGTTTTGTACCATTTACCCCTATCTCAAATAAATGTGTATATGGCTGTATATAGGCAGTGACACCTGACATTACACTACAAACATTTTCAAACCCATACACACTAAAGCCCTACAGTAAAAGTATGGACGACTGTCACCACAAAACAAGACAAAACTGAAAAAAGCTGTTCCAATCAGCTAGATGGCATCCCTATCTTGTTTGCCTTGCCTTGAAAAGAGCTAACATCGCTGCGGACCCGCGAATTGCGGGCCCCACTGACAGCTCATAATTTGTAAACAAATAGAAGATTCAAGCCAGAATTTCAAAAAAGGCGTGACTGATATTATGGATATTCTTAATATTTTTGCTTACATTTTGTGAAAAATAAACTTAAGACTCATAAAATATTATTTTCTGATTTTCTACCACGAAATCAACAATTTATATGGCATAAAAGGGAAAATAATTTCATTTGATAAAAATAAGACAATTCAGTCACGCCATTTTTGCAGTTCACACTGGAATTGTGACGTTTCAGATGTTGGCTTCAATAACATGGCGGCATGCCACCCAGCTGGTTCCAATCGAGCAAAGCGGTGCATTTTGACGGTTCGATTGGAACAACTTTTGACAGACGTCCATACTTTTACTGTAGGGCTTTAGTACACACTAATCATCAAAAAGCAATACTTACAAAAATGTTGTGAAATTAAACATCGAGTCACCAAAACAAACATCAATTAGGTACTCAGTCGGTTTCGGACATCGAGACGTTTCTAATTATTTCTACTTGAGAGTAACAGGAAGAACATGAGCAGTGAAATTCCAAAAATTGCCGCAGCAATCGTTCTCCCACAAATTGGAGGATGGATAAATGGATATCTAACACGACAGGAGACAAAAACCTGGTACACCACGCTTAATTTCCCTTCCTTCAAACCTCCAAGCTGGATCTTTGGTCCGGTATGGACTTCACTATACGCCGGAATGGGTTATGCCTCATATCTGGTATGGAGAGATGGTGGAGGTTTTAGAGGAATTGCACAAGGACCACTCATTCTATACGGAGCACAACTAGCATTGAATTGGGCTTGGACACCGATATTCTTCAAGAAACATGAGCTGAAATGGGTAACATGATTCATTGTTACATGTTAAGTATTTAAAATCAATATCTGAATCTATATTTTAACAGAGCTTCGTAGAGTGTGCGACCTTGACCGCTGCAGTTGCTGCTACAGGATTTGCCTTCTTCAATGTGAATAAGATAGCCGGTTATCTTTTCGTTCCATATCTGGCATGGTGCTCGTTTGCAACGTTGCTCAATTATAAAATATATGAATTGAACCCAGACAAGCCAACAGCGACCATCGAAGAAATTAAAATGGAAAAGGACAAATAAAACGAGAACAATCAAAATTTATCAGCGACTGTCGTCGAAATAATCAATCATTACCGCACCGCATTTCCATATGCATTATTTAAATTACTACCTATATTTTGAATAGAAATATTAACAAGGATATTAAATAAGTATTTCGATACTCTCCAAAAAGCAGTGCTATTAAATCATTCAGAAAGTTATTTAGGTATTTACACAAGAATTCACCAAACATCACATGAATAAATGCACTGTAGTGTTGCACAACAATTTTGAAAGATATATTTCATTTATTTTTAAAAGCTTTTGTTCATCCGCGCAAGTATGATTTGAAAACTCCAAACATCTTGATACTTGATGAGTTGCAATCGTCGTCGATTTATTTTTCGCTGGTTCGGTCCTGAGTCAATCACTTCTAAGCAGCTAGCGGCTTGATGTCGTCCTCAACTGTATAAATTCAAGGAGTGCGATGTCTACTCCCGATTTGTTTATTTGTTACGTTTGCATCAACAGACTAGAAATAGTCCCAATGATGTGTTGTAAAAAAAGTACAGATTATACAGACTACATACATACTGTATACTGTATACTACAGTTACAAACGAAAATAACTAGGAAAGCAGTGTCAAGTTACTAAAAATGTATAAGTCTTAAAATTTACTTTTAGCTGTTGGGCGTCAAGCGCCTTCGGTCAGCAAAAATGGCAGAGAATCTTCGGCAAAGCATATTCCGTGTTAAGTGGAAATCGAACGTCGACGCTACACGGTTGAACACTCGCTGCAAGCCGTGAATAGCGCTCCCTAAGCTATAATTAGTTCAAAGAAGTGGAAGTCTCAGCATAAGACTGTTGCGTAGTGATCGAGGTTGAACATTAATGTTCACTTGTTGTAGAATTGCTTCGCAGTCGATTCTTCCTTGTAGAGTATCGGCGACGGTTAAGGCTCTAAAACATCTCTTCGGATACCTAAGGGCTCGACATTGATCAATTGGCAGCGATTCTCGTAGCTTGGAAGACGAAGTGGGTATCTCCAAGCAGCTTACGGAGCGCGAAGCGAAGGAAACGTCGTTGCACAGATTCAATTCGCTCGGCCCCATTATTGTAGTTCGGGCTCCAGACTGCGGAGCAGTATTCCATCCAACGTAAATCGTACGAGAGAGCAATAGAGCGATTTCAAGCAGTAAATGTCTGAGAAGTTCTTAGTAATCTTGAAGACAAAGCCAAGAGTTCTGGACGCTTTGTCGACGACCTACGATATATGGTGTGAGTATGTCAGCGTTGAGTCTAGAATAACGCCTAAGTCTTTCACGCAATGCACCCGTTCGATAGTCGTGCCTAGTAGTTTGTAGTTGAAAATAATCGGTTGTTTCTTGCGTGAGAAAGTAATTATTGTACACTTAGCTGGGTTGACCACCAGTCGGTTTAGACTACACCAGTCAGCAAAGATGTCAATCTGATTTTGGAGAGAACGGCAGTCGGCGAGTGAGCGGATGCGCAGAAAAACGTTCAGATGAAATATCAATTCCGTTTTAGGTAGGTACTTGATACATCTTATGTTTCACCAAAAAAAAAAAAATTCCAAGAAGTCAATTTTTAACGAATGATGTTTTTTTTACAGATAACACTAGATCACGACGTGATGCATTGTTAAATCATTTGACATCAAAAACAAATTTGATTTCCAAAAAAGTCCCAGAAAGTTGATTTTCGAAAATAAATAAATCGGGAAGGCAGAATTTTTGAAAAGGCCGAATTCCAAAAAGCCGAAAAGAGCACGCACAGAGCAAGTGGACCTTCACGCGTTACGCTAGCAATGGTCCACTGGCCCAGCACGTGGCGTTTTCGGCCTTTGATAAACGTAATTATTTTATATCAATACTCCCTTTGGAAATTCTGAGTTTAGATTTTTGTTTGCCTTTTGAAATTCGGCCTTACAAACATGCTGCCTATTTTTTTTCCTTTACAAGATAGACTTTTAGCCGAGCAATGCTGCCTAATGTTTATCTACCTTTTAGTGGGGAACCAGCCATTGGCAGTCACTCTAATAAAGAAGAAAAAAATCTGCCTTTCGACCGTGTCACCTGAAAACTCAACTGGATTTTACATTAACATTCTATAATAAAAAGTAATGAAAAAGCCCTAAAAGAGCGATTCTCATTGGCATAAAAAATATCGATTTCCGAATTTTCATGTATCCACCTTGGGAGATTTTTCTTTATTGATTTTGCGCCACCCCAACTCATGTCCAACTGAGCCCAAATTTTGCATAGTGTCTTTTTTTCGAAGCAATGAACATTTTGTATATGGTCGGCTTATTATTTTTTCATTGGTGTTCTAATGCACAACTGTATAGGTGCTCAAAATTCTAGAGCGCGTGAGTGAGATCGTTTGAATAGAACAAAAATCACGTAAAATGCTGGAGTATATCCCAATACATATCAAGGATGTCATCCCAAGCGAAGAACAACAGCTGATTGTTTCGATTGTTCATTTTACAAAGCACATCACTGACATCCAGTGTGGTTTCTTGTCTATTAGATCGACAATCAACGTATAAAAATGGAAATAAATCGCTTGCCTTTTGAAGCTTCAGACGTGTTGTAGCTCTTCATACTCAACATATGACTGCGGTTGTTCATGATGCGCCTGTTGTAGCTGTTCCAAAGGCTTGACCGAGATTTTCTCACCCGTGGACGACCAGGAAACAGGTTCACTTGAGTGAAGTTTGTAGTGCCTCTTAAGCGATTCCTTTTTAGCAAAGGACTTCTCACACATGTCGCAGTTGAAGGCCTGATAGGTCAAAAGTAAACATTATCGAAAACAGTAATACATATTATGCAATTATAAAATAACACACCTTGATTCCGGTATGGACATGCGAATGTTGCACTAGCAACAATTTAGTTCGGAACGATTTGTCACACAAATCGCATGAAAAAGGTCTAATATTAAGATGGCTCATATTGTGAGACCGAAGTGCTTTATGTGAAGTAAACGATTTGCCACAGGTGTCGCATAAAAGGTTGAGTAGTTTGCTGTGTGTAGCAATATGGTCATTAAGTTCCCGACGAGTTGGGAAAGTTTGCTCGCAGCATTTGTAAACGTAGCCAAGTTCTTCAATCTCTTCGCCGTGAACTTGGCTTTTGTGATTTTCTAAGTTGAACGAATTGGTGTAGACCTTACCACATTGGTCGCAAATCAACTGAGGCTTGGGATTGTGTGTCTGCCTGTGTTGATACAACGCTCGACGGCTATCGCACACCTTCCCGCATTGCTCACAAGTACTGTTGACTTTCTTGCAGGAAATGTTCTGATCGATATGAGTCTGTAGCTCTTCAAAGCTTTTGAATTTTCCTTTGCACGTTACGCATACGTAATGACAAGGATCTGTTAGATTGATGACAACATTTTTGGAATTGGATAAACGGGGTTTTGGCTTAAGTTTCGCTGGTGACCTCAACCGGCGTGGTTCGCTATCTACCTGTAATGTGTTGCTATTAAGAAATCGAAAAAAAAAACTGGTTGATAAATTGTCTTACCACCTGATCGTTCTGCATGTATTCCGGGTTGATTTCAATCTCCAATCTTTCTTCGGGAAAAGCCTCTTGACTGCTTTCGTCGGTCGAGTGCATTTCCTTAATATTGACAGACTCAATGCTCTGAAAGCTATGCCGAGCAAGGACTTCCCCTTCTTCATCATCATCAGTATCATCGTAGTGAATGAAATCTTCAGCGGGTAAATGCTCTACTTCTTCGTCCAATACTTCAACCTTCATCTTCAAAAGCGGTTCCTCATCATCTATTCGTTTGGTTTTAGCTGGTTGTTCGATTTCAATTGGTTTCTTTTTGTCTATCTTCTTGATTACTATGGATGAAGTGTTGAACTTACGAAGAACTTCGTTAACGGAGGCGGGATGAGGTTTGGTTTTTGTTGCACTTATCGAATTAACCAGAGACCGTATTTCCAAAGGGGATATCACATTGCTTACCGAACGATTTGAGCGCTCTAGTAAACTATGCTCCACTTCCTGTGCTTTAAGAACAAATCCCTCCATCTTCTGAATTATGCTGGCGCATTCCGTACAAGCCATCTTCGGAAGGAGATCGGCAGTATCAAACTAAATAAATAAATATATTCAGTGATGGATATTGAAGAAATTAATAACGTAAAACAGTGTTTGTCTACTGATTGTACACTTACCTTCAGCGGAAAGAACCGCACCAGCTTTTCACACAACCCAGTTCCTATTAGGTCAACAATCACATCGTTTTGCTCTCCGCAGAAGCGGCAAACTTGCCCCGACGTCCAAGAGGCCATCGCAATGCTTAGAAAATGTTGGCCGCAATGTAATGTTTATACAAAAACAGACAAAGAATTTCGACCCATTTGTTTAGTTTTTGCGGGGAACCATTGTTGTGACATTTATAGTATTGGGCGATTTGGAAACAGATACTGACTACGAGTTGCACACAAAAAAAAACATCGCAGATAGGTATCTATTAGAAATCCTGTGGCCCCTCGTAGCATGTCAAATCAAAATCGGATTCATTTCGTTCGAACTACACGTGTTATTGTTTACTGTCGGTTGCGCGTGAAACTACTACCATTCTTTGATTCTGTGAGTGTTCCAAGAGTTGGACATGGATATAGACGGCGAGGAAGGAACGCCACAAACGCATACCGTCCAAGCGCGGTTTGTATCGGATGTTGGAGTCGAAGCGGGGCCACCACTGGACCTACCGGTCAATGTGACCAAACAACAGCTAGAATTGATATTGAATGCGCTCCAGAAAAATGTAAGCATCGGTTTTACCATAATTAGATTCACACTAAACTCCATTCTTTTCTCAGGAAGAACCAACGCCGTATTTATTCTTCATTAACGATGACGAAGTCCGAGATTCAGTGCAAGAAACGCTCGGTTCTAAGCAGTTGGACGTTGAGAATGTACTGGACATTGTATACCAACCACAAGCCGTTTTCCGTGTACGGCCGGTGACCCGCTGTACCAGTTCAATGCCAGGGCATGCCGAGGCAATAGTATCGCTCGCCTTCAGCCCCAACAGCTTGCATTTAGCAAGTGGATCTGGAGACACGACACTTAGATTGTGGGATTTGACCACGGAGACACCCCACTACACCTGTACAGGTCATAAAAACTGGGTTCTTAGTGTAGCATGGTCGCCCGATTCATTGAAGGTCGCTTCTGCGGACAAAGCCGGAGAAATCCGCGTTTGGTGCCCTGATTCCGGTAAATTGCTCGGACGTCCACTGGTTGGTCACAAAAAGTGGATAAGTTGCATGAGTTGGGAGCCGTTTCATAAGAATACCGAATGCCGGTATTTGGCTAGCGCGGGAAATGATAACGATGTGAGAATCTGGGACGTCGTGTTGGGAACGTGCATAAAGACCGTAGCTGGCCATACCGCTCCGGTAACCGCAGTCCGTTGGGGTGGATCGGGTTTACTATACACGTCATCACGCGATCGCACTATCAAGATGTGGCGTGCCGAGGACGGAGTCCTGTGTAAAACATTCACAGGACACGCCCACTGGGTCAATAACCTAGCACTGAATACGGACTATGTTCTCCGTACCGGTCCGTTCCATCCCGTTATAGACAAAAGTAAATCATACTCTATTTCAGACAGTAAGCATTTTACTCAGTGATTATTACATACCTACTGTAACATATTGTACTAAATATTGTATTTTTTTTTTCAGAAAAAGATATGCAAAGCATGGCACTAGAGCGCTTTGAAAAAGTTTGCCCAGATGGCGTTGAATCGTTCGTTTCATGCTCCGATGATTTCACTCTGTATCTATGGAAGTCGAACCAGAAACAGTTCATTACGCGAATGACCGGTCATCAGAATGTCGTAAACGATGTAAAGTATTCGCCGGACGTGAAGCTAATAGCTTCAGCGTCTTTCGATAAATCCGTTCGATTGTGGCGTGCCGGTGATGGAGCATTCATTTGCGCATTCCGTGGACACGTGCAAGCTGTCTACAGTGTGGCATGGTCAGCTGATTCCCGGCTTATCGTGAGCGGAAGCAAGGATTCTACACTGAAAGTGTGGAGCGTGAAGGAAAGAAAACTGGCTCAAGAGCTGCCCGGTCATGCCGATGAAGTGTTTGGAGTCGACTGGGCACCGGACGGTTCTAGGGTCGCATCTGGTGGCAAGGACAAAGTTTTGAAGCTGTAAGTTTTTCTCTTTCGATCATATGCTAGTGCAAGGTATATCGTATTGCGCACATAAATGCGATGAAACTATAAAATGTGCGCTGTTACGTTAAATCGTTTTGATGTTTTCGGCGGAACTTATTTTTTTGTTTCACCAAGACGAACGCAACGTAGAAGCGCACTTTTTTGAGCGATTCCGTACTTTAGAGAAATCCATAATATAATTTAATATTTTCAGGTGGACATACTAATGCTGACATGGTAGCTTCAAACATTATTATTTTCAGTTTATGAGAGAAACCATAAATATATGCTTAAACACAAGTTGGTTGTCTATTATTAATCGAAAATATTACATGTTATTCAGATTGACTCAAAATACCGGTCATTACAATGAATCGAATGAATTTATTCCTCTACATCTCGGATTCTCAAGCGGCGCCGATGGTGCTGTGGTAAGCCTGGGTTCAATCCCAGTCGACGCCGCCGGGATGTTCTGAGATATAACATCTCTGATCACGCCTTCCTTCAGACGGGAAGGGTCCAGGTGTGGGAGCTGCCTCCCTGGCGTCGGTAGCATTGGTGCTCAGCACGGAAAACTAGATTGACGGACAACAAATCAAGGAAAAAAATAATCTCGCATTCTCTGCGTCACAAAAAATAGAACGCTGCTCGACAAAACATGGTAGGTACCTGGTACCCCAAAAATTGGGTATCAAAAATCACCAACGAAGGTTGGGCTCGCGATTGGGCGGCCAGTGAAACCCCTGCCATCAGAAAAATTAAAAGAGACACCTCCAAGTGGGCGGACCCACCGTTACATCGAGAGCCGGTCATAATTTCTCGAACACATCATACAAACATCTCCCACAACTACAAGGGAGACGGACCGTGTCATAGGATCTGTGATCTATGCCGAATTCTACAAACGGTGGATCACATTATCTGCCACTGTCCGAAATACGAAGCACCAATAACCCGCTACGACATCCCGAGAGCATCCGCGATGCTCTTCGTTCGGTAATGATCCTACCAGAATTACAGCCCTTCTAGCTTTCCTGTGGGAAGCTGGGCTGTTCGATCTAATCTGATCACCTAGCTCACCATCACCACCATACCAGATCACACTCGGAACCTGAATCTCACAACTAACCACCCTCATCAGCAACTATACAGACCAACGCAACAAAAACGGAATTCTATAAACAAACTCACAGGAACAAAGTCCAGGTGGCACAAAACAGAGTGCTTAGGATGATCCTCGATCGTCTTTTCGACACTAGAATAACAAATTTACACGAAGAGGCAGGCATTCTCTATCCGATGGTGGTGTTGATTTGCGTGGGCGAGCCTTAATTTTCTAGAAATCACCGAGAGAAGTCATTGTTTACAAAAGCTGTTACGCCCTAATTCTAGCTCTATCTAGAAATAACCAAAACAATGGCACCGATGAGCGCGGAAAGGGAAAACACCCAAAATACAATATTTGTCAACAACATTCTGTCCCAGGCGTCTAATCCTATCTCATTTTCACTCATTACACTATTGTAAATTGAATCATATAAAACCCTGAAGAGTTCTGAAAATAAAGGTTCAGTCTCGGCTATACCATTGACTTCAACGGGCCTCATAGCCTAGTCAGTAAAGGCACGGTATTGCCAAGCCGGAGGCGGCGGGTTCGATTCCCGGTCCGGTCGAGGGAATCTTTCGGGTTGGAAATTTTCTCGACTTCCCTGGGCATAATAGAGTATCATTGTGCTTGCCTTGCCACACAATATACGAATTCATGCATTGGTATTGGCATCGGAAGCTCTCAGTTAATAACTGTGGAAGTGCATTTATAGAACACTAAGTTGAGAGCACGCAATAAGCTAATATGCACTATGCAATAAGCTTGATATGCGAATAAGAAGAAGAAGATTGACTTCAACGGGAGTCCCGACGTAAGTCGGAGAACCAACGCTTCTTGAAGAAAGAAAGCCATTGACTAAGAGTGACCTACGGACTAGTGATAGTCAGCAGACCACCACTCTGGTCTCAAATGAACAGGAAGTAGAATTCCGTGTTCGCAAGGAGAATGCCATATTCAGTATGGCCACAATACATGTAAAACCACACAAATACCAGAAATAAAGATCATTTAAAGTAAAAAAAAAACCGCCAGTATCACATCTGATGTCAGTGCCTTTACATAAACGTACTACGACGTGGCAAAGGAATAAAAGAGCAAAATATGTGATGCTTTCACTACCAGTCAAATTCTTAGTCTCACATGCAAGCATACAACATGAGATTAGGGCCTAGCACCTTCAGCAAGGTGTTAAAAGTGACCAACGGGAGGAAATTCACACAATGGTCCAAAAAACCATTTTTTTTTCTTCAAAAAGTGATGAAGCATACTTTTTTAAGATTTGTCATTGAAATTCAAGAGCCGACGCCGGTGGTAAGCATGACTGCTTTTTCATCCCAACGGGTGAGAGGGTCGCGCAAAATTTTCTTTATTTCTGAATTTATATAAAATGTAAAGTAAAAACAGGTATGAGGATAACGTTTTGCAAAGAAAGTGGAACGAAATATTACAAGACTAGTTGTTTATTTAGGTCTATGTCTGCCGCGCTCAGGTATAGCTTAGAATAGAGTTGTAGGATATGCACTGCACGATAGATAAGCGCATGTCAGAAGGGCGTATAGAGACACGTCCACATTTATATTTTTTAACCTGAATTTGAAAGCGTTGCGAGGTGGGAATTTGTTACGTAAATTAAAACTCCTTGGTAAGTTTCTAGTTCAAGAAAAACTGTAGATTCCCAAAGTAGAATAGGCTCTCACAATAGTTAGAGTACTGGCTCTTGGGCATAAAATCTCAAAGGTATTTCTGAGCTAAAAACTATATTTTCAATTGATTGAGACTCTCTCCACTCAATAAGTATAGGCTCCCACCCTGGTTAGAACAACTAGCTTTGAGTCCTGCGAGAATTTCAATAAAATTGAAAATAGCAAGGTTTCCAACTTGCCGTCGGTCGAGCACTCCTTCACCCGACAAATAAAATAAATTGTTAGCAGCGATAGCGTTCCTTCGCACGTGTAAATCGATCGCGTCGCTAACAATATCCATAGTCACACTTGTATAGTTATTGGATGTACTCATAATTTATTATACAAATAATGCTCATGTTTATAGCATGTCGTACAAGTGTATCCACGGCATTAAAATGTTCTCCCTAGAGAAGGTCTAGTATAAGAGAGGAGCGGATTAAAAACAAACTGCCTTGGGTGGTTTCTTGCAACACTGTCAATTTCGATCAAGATAGGCACTGCTCGATTGGCTCTGGCTCAATATCAAGCCAGTCCGCTCCTCTCTTATACTAGACCCTCTTTAGTTCTCCCTAAGTTTTGATCGAAGTAGCCTACCGAAAATTATTCACCTTTTCGTCTTTCAAAATTCCGGTCGCATCAAAATGGCTCTCTTCCTGGCTAGACGGGCTAGACACGTTTGTCCGAAAACTGTTCCGAAAGTATCGTTACGTGTGCGCTTCTCTACAGCTGCCGACGGAAGTGGTGATGATGGCAATCAAAAAGCACAAAGTCAACTGAATAGATTGCACACCTACGAAACCGTCGATGACCCAAACTCGCTGGTCAAAACTACCATCATCAGACGAAACCCTGTTCTGCAGAGGGCGAAAACACCGGAGGAAATCTTGGAGCATGCCGCCAATGCCGTCGCGAAGAAGAAACCGGAGCAAGAAATTAAGGATAAGACGGCTCTATTGAAATCAGGGCTTTCGGATGAAACAGATGGTGCTCGCAAGGATTTCGAGAAAAACGTCTACTGGGGACACGATGGGAAGAAGAGCATCGTCGGATACGATATCTTCCAAGAGTTGGAGGAGAGATTAGAGGAAATTCTTTCGCGTAATGAAGACTTGGCCAATTCATTGGAGAACAAGAAAGAGGAAAAGAAGGACACAGAGAAGAGTAATGAAAAACTGGCCAAAATTAGTACCGCTTTAGAGGGCATAAGCCGACTGCTTAGTTTCTATCTGTTAAGATCTTATTTATATCAGAAACATTGGTGAATAAAGGTTGCTGCTTGGTTTAACCGTTTGTGATAATTTTTACTCTTTTATGTACAAACGAAAGAACATAAATTACCTCTCTAGTTCAGTTTAGCAGTTGGTTTCATTATTCCCACTCATTACTTCTCTGCCGCTGGCTTTGCGACAGATGCTTTCTCTTTTAGTAGTTGAATACGATGAAGATTGACGCCGTCCGTGAACGCTCTAACTTCAGCCGAACAGTTCAACGTTTCGTGCTGGTTTTTCTTGCAGCATTCCACCACCTTTGCCTTCAAGTCCTGGCATGGAGGTAACTGATGCGCAACGGCAGTGCTATCGAAACGTTTTTTTACATCAACGATCTATGAAATAAAGAGAATAAAATCCTGATTAATCCACCTTTCTGGTTACTATCACCAATCTCATTTTGACTGAGAAAAGGGCGCGCCTTTGGAGGGTGCTATCACTCTTAGAAGGGTATAAATAGCGGGAGAACATCTGAAGGACTTTGTTTGAATGTCTGACTTATGCTAATGAGATAATTTCTGAGGCTCTAAACGTCTTTAGAATAAGTCCTAACCAACTTTATAATGATAATCAAAGTAATACACGACAATTAAAATCCAAAAAATGGCTACACTTGGGCAACCAAACTTAAGAATTCTACAAGGTATGACCTATGAACTTGAAAAAATTGGTTTCATAAGACACTTATGAATTTTACAAGCGACTGACTTATGATTGATTATCGCACTACGAGATGGTTTGTAAATGAATATGTAAATATGGTACACTTTATTCAATGAAGAGGTGATAAATCTACCATAGAATCACGTAGTTCTTACGTGAAGAAAATGATGGACGCAAGCTACCGGTATTTTCATGTAACTCTGGCGAGATTTTTTTTTTTTTTGTTTTGAGTGTGCTACTTTGTCTCAGACGTTATATCGATGGGATGTGACGTTTTCCAGTTAGATTTGTTGCGAGGGGCACGCGATAAACTTTAACTCCTACGCAAGCCTTTTTTAAGTACAATAATTACAGTTAACTGCATGATTAATTACTTTAATTACGAACGTCGGAAATTTTTCGATTTAATTACTTTTAAGTACATATTTCAGCTTTAATTACAAGTCGCATAAATTAAGTACATTAACTCCATTAATGTACAGCGAGAAATGTACTTAAATTTCCCTTTCGTTATTGGCCCGTAAAACATAAAATTTCACAGGCTCTTTTGCTACGTTAAGGATAATGTCAGCTCTGATAGATTGTATCGCTACCGCTGTTATGACTTCAGAATAGACCCTATAAACATACATCTCCCGGGACCCACAAGGAAATCTACGTTGGTGATTGGTGCCAATTCACATGCAACGATCGGTTCGTGATTGGAGATGTAGTCGGATTTCAATACTGCCGAGGTGTTGGCAGGGCAAAAACCTATACCCTGGATCACACCCCTGTCAAAGCACCGGAGAATGCGACAATGAAAAGAATGTTTGTTTGTGCTAACTGGTTCAACCTAAGAAATAACGAATTTATTTTGGTGGATATGAACGAAAACAGAATTACAATAGAAAATTATGTTAAGCACGTTTTGCCTCTTTGTATTTAACCCCAAAATGTATGGCTAAGGGGAAGTTCACCGCACCGGAAATATAGTTTTTTCGACGCGGTTTTTTTTTAATAATGGGAAAAATTATCAAAAATTCGAGAAAATCAGATTTTTCTTAGATTATTAACAAAATTTGCATGTAACAATATTATTTATTTCTCCACGGATACGAATTTTGTTCATTCAAATCAAAAATAAAACTGTTTATACTCTAAACATATGAATGATTCAAAGTAAATTGAAAACATGTTGAAAACTAAAATATGTATTTTGAATTAAATTCAAAAGCATGTTTTTTTCAGCAATATAGAAATCAATCGTATTTGAAAGCATCTGTCACAGATGTGTTTGTTTTTGACTGGCGATGATCGATTTCTGTACGTGGTACCTGGTCAAGCGGGAACGGTGACAAAGGCGCAGAAGGCGGTAGTTATTTCGCTTGCCATTTCGCAGGATCAGAAGTTTTTTTTTAGGCCAAAAAAGGGCTGTTCATAAACTACGTAGACATTTTTTATTATTGTTGACCCCCCCCCCCCCCTCCCCCTGCGTAGACAATTGTCCATACATTTTTTTTATTTGTATGGGCCGTGCATAATTATCAATTACTATGGATTGTGTTCCTATGCAGCATTATAGAAAGTTCTGTTCAAAATGAAGTCTTACAAAAAATTGCAAAAAATCTTTTTGTGCTGATGTGTCGAAAATCGAAATTATTTATAATAATTAAACATCATAAATTAAGGATTTTCGAATTTCCAAATATTGTTTACTACAATTCCTGCATCACTAATAATGATTAAATTAAATATCAATAACAAAGAATTGGTAAATATTCCCTTTAATTGATCAAAAATCATCTTCTTAAAAATGAACCTCACACGGGCAAGATTGCCACTATAAATAAAATTAACAAAAATAAAAAAATAAATTGCATAATTGCGCATTTAAGTATCCGGTAAGTTTGTATTCATCATACTTGCCAAAACCAGCTACATAAAATATCAACAACAATAGTTTTCATTTGAATTCAATGGTAAACATAGTTCATTTGTTATGCATTGAATAATATTGTAAAATGCAATAGTTAAATCGAGTAAACAATAACAGCTGTTGTTAACATGATTAAAAATCAAGAGGCTATGTTTATAAATAAGCATTAATAGATTTCACTCAATTTAAGACGCATGACCCTTTTGCCCCATTGCAGTTTCAAAAAAGATTTGAGATGAAAATATCGTAAACAACTATTGACGAGATTTAATTTGCATTACATTGCTGATGTATGAAGGCAATAATATGAACTTGCAAGACGGTGTAGAAACTCCTATTAATATCCACTATTTGGCATATCAAAAAGGTACGATTGGTAAGGTGGCACTCTTGCCCCACCAGACCTTAATGAAATAGACCGCACAGTTTCGACTTATCTGTGACAAACATTTTCCAATATTAGCTAATTATGCCTTCAACTTACCGCATCGCTGTATTCCTTTTCCAAAATCTGGTTCGTTTTTTGGAGGTTCGCCTCGAGTGTCTGCAGACGTTTTGTCCAGTAGATATCATTAGCTCTGAGCTCCTGTTCCTTTTCCCGGCGAACTTGCATTGAAGTGAGCGAGGGTTCACCATAATATCCGGCCGATGGGGGTGGCAACGGGTTGGGATAGGAGCTTGGAACACTGCTATCTACGGACGGGCGAGATGCACCTTGCGGCTGCTGACGAGCTCCTTAACAATGAGGAAAAGAGTTGTTATTTACGAAGCATTTTTGTTTTACTTATTGCATAATCGGAATCCGTCGGCTGCTCGCCAGAGGACAATGAGCATTTTTTGACAGCCGATATCCAAAACATTCAGCAGTTTCTCGCCTTTTTACCTTCTTTCGGGGGCAGTCCCGTCTTGAGTCGCTGCACAACGTCGTCAGAAATATCGATAACTCCAGCCGGCGAGTCGTTGTCGACGGAGACGGTCCTCGGAGTGCTGGAGGAAGCTCCCATCGTGATCAAGTTTTATGCACAATCTTCGAACACACCTGATTTGAGCACCACACTGCACTGGATGAAGACGTCCTCTTCTCTTTTCGTTTTCACCTTTTTTACTATTATCTACACGCAAATAAAAAACACATCAATTGGATACAGCTTTCAACCTCGCTTACAACCCTTGCCGAAAATTAGAATACGATGAAGATTTTTACTTGTTTTAAAGCGTTATTGGGCCGTATGAATAAAAAGAGTTTCTATTTGAATAAAACATATTTTTCTGTGTTGTTATGACAAAATGTTCAATTTAAAAAATATATACATATATTGTGTTATTAAAAGGTATTGAATTAATAAAAATTAGAGTACAAAAACAAAACAGAAAGTAGCTCAATTCATCACACGTGAGGTTAGCTTTCATTCAAGTGTCATTGGTGCCATTTGCATTTCTGAGCAACAACAGCGATGCACAGCAAAAAAAATGTAATATCGATCAATGATGTAATATTGTATCTGCTTTTTGCTATTTAATCATTATTTCATACATCATTGATCGATATTACATTTTTTTTTTGCTTTTTCTGTGTTTATTTTTTTTAGATTTCATCAGTAAATTGAGATCGATATAGAAGCAAAACAAACTTCCTTAATATGTCGATAATGAAGAGCAGTTCGTTTAATAAACATTGTAAAATTTTGCATTTCTAACAAAAGTTTTCTTGAATCAACTAAAGCATAGTTTGTTGTATTTTGAAGTTTGACGTTTGTTTATCTCTCGGTTTATCCGTTGGTCATGACCCAATTAAAAAGCAACTGGATGTCAAAATCTCATGTCAAATTGGATTTGAAAATCAATCATAAATTCTTCCAGGGGGGTACCCGCATAAACGCGAACCATCACATGACCTTACCGATAATGGTTATAAATTGTTTATAATCCCTGCTAAACTTCAACTGAAATGGTTATGGAACTTTACATGAACGTTTGTGTGATAAAGTTTTAACCTTATGTATTATGGTTTTTTGGAAGCGGACCTTACAAATAATGGGTTGTTAAGAACCATTACCATTCCAAATTCTTGTTTTCTCCATACATTATCGGAAAGAGAACTATATTAGAACGTTTTTACTTATGGTTTGAGAACATTAATGGTTATGGTTATGGTAGTCAGTAAGGTCCATTAATGGTTTTGTATTATCGCTCAACTTTACGTGAAATATATCGTGAATTGGTAGTCAGTAATTTACAGGCAACCAATTTGCGATATATTCCACATAAAGTTGATCGATGTTACAAAACCACTCATGGACCTTACTGGCTACCATAACCATTACCATTAATGTTCTCAAACCATAAGTTAAAAGGTTTTAGTATAGTTTTCTTTCCGAAAATGTAAGGAGAAAACAAGAATTTTGAATGGTAATGGTTCTTAACAACCCATTATTTGTAAGGTCCACTTCCAAAAAACTATAATACTTAAGATTAAAACTTTATCATTAAACGTTCATGTAAAGTTCCATAACCATTTCAGTTGAAGTTTAGCATCAGGGATTATAAACAATGTATAACCATTATCGGTAAGGTCAATTTATGGTTCGCGCTTATGCGGGTAAGCATATGCGATTAGGACTGCGAATCATATGTAATGAATGTTAACGTTTGGTATTTGCTCGAAACATTTGAGTTTCATTTAAAATTCTAGAAGAAAACAAAAACAAAAATTGTGTACTTAATGATTTGCTTTTTCCACTCAAGCAACTTGCTTCAATCCGCTTTTTGTGAAATCTTTTCAACAAAGGATGCGCACACCCCTCAACAAATTTTAGCCTTTTGTAAGTTGGCCCAACTAGCGAATCAAATTCGTTAGTTGGGCCGAGGTGGTGGCCCAACCAGCGAATTTCGACTGTATCTCTAAAACAATTGAACAATATCAGTGCTAACATTTAAAAACGGCACAAAAGCCATTTGTAAACAAATGGTTTGTGGGCCCTTTACTCACTACTTGAAGTACACCCACGCGACACAACAGCAACATCGGGTAGGGGAAATTTTCCCCTTCCTGACAATGCTGTTGGTTTGCGTGGGCGTTCTTCGGGTAGCGAGTAAAGGGCCCACAAACCATTTGTTTACAAATGGCTTTTGTGCCGTTTTCAAATGTTAGCACTGATATAGTTATTTTGACCGGAAAAATAATTACGTCTGCTATTGTTCTCCGTGGACTGTTATCAGTTATGAAAAATTATCTAAAAATCTGTACCATTCTAAAAAATCTGTATATTTGGCAACACTGCTTCTCGTTCACAGCTTTTGACTTTTTCTGTTTTTTTTTCTCGGAGTTGCGAGCTAAACTGTCATTTGCCTGTACCGGTTTTCTTGCAGAATATTCGGATTCTAAATTTTTATTCGGTGATCAAAGCTATTTCACGAACTAGAATTAGCTTGTTCTTGTTTTTTGATCGTCGTTACTTCGAATGGATTAGCTACCAAGACTCAGCATCGTCTTCAGCGGTTTGGGTACAATTGTTATGTATACATCTGAGAGGTACTCAAAAATTTTGCAAATCTGGATGAATACAGCGAAATAATGATAACCGCCTCAGAGCCTTTGGTAAGATACGTTGCGTTTTTCTATTGAACCTGTGAGTAAGTTGCTCTTCCACAGGAATTTATTCCACGGGGTCGTCAGGCGGTGAACGAACACCCGGGCCCCTTGGTGTTGAAGAAACCTGTACCGGTTCCGTCCGACTTCATCCTGCTCCAGCGGATGCAAGATGTCAACATCTCGCTCGATGATAGTCCCGTGGAATTTTATCTGCTACGTGAGACGTACAATGAGTTAGAAGACAACACGACAGGACCCGGTTTCCTGCGCGAAGCCGAGTTCAATACGGAAGAGGAAATCTACGTTAAGGGTAACACTGCTGTCTGGACAACGGGTTTGAGCAGTGACGAAGCTGCACCACATGTCTGCCTGACTTGTGAAAACCCTATCAAATACGCTTTCTTCAGTCCACGGAATTTCATTTCGTCGGAATCGGAAAGGAAAGAATCACATGCGCATGAAAAACGGTATGTTCATCTAGTAATTAATTCTAGAGATTACTTGGAATTTGATGTTTAATTGAAAATAACAACAATTTTAGAGCAAAACCAGTGCATCATAGCAAATCAGCAGTTTGCCTATTGGGCGGTACATCTCTGAAGGTTTACTGTAGCAGTGGTGAAAACTTTGGTACAAGCATAGAATGTCCAATCTCGAACGTTTGGGTCTCGACCCATGGTATTCTGCTGGAAAAGGAACCATCAAGTGCCGTGCTGGAAACGCATTCGATTCCTATGCCTAGACTGTTCTCTCTAACACATCCTCTTGATGAAATGTGCCCTGTTCTCATAAAAATTAACAACTCAACAGCCTATTTGACTGAAGCTGAGTATCGAGTCGTGTTTTCCTGCGAGGAAAACAACTTAGTACTGATGTTCGATGAGAAATTAGCAAAGCATTTTGTTTGTTTCCTACGAAAGGCTACCGAAGAGGAGAAGAGCGACATGGGTTGGGGTAATGATAGTGGTTCCTTTTCCAATAGCGTTTTCAATGTTACCGGAAACATTTCTCATCAGGCAACAACACCTCTGCCAACAGTCATTACACCACAATCGTTCTACAAAAGCTCTCGTAAGTGATAGATTATCGAATAAGTACTTAGACTTTATAGATTTTAAATAACTTTTATAATAGTTTTAGCACGTCAAAACGCATCAACGGTGGGCCGTTTCAGTCTTGGAGCTGCCAACAGCAGTCCCTATGCTAGTAATTTGCAACTCGGTCACGCTGGTTCATTCAATCTCAACACTACAGGAGTTGGTGCAACCAACCGAAATCATGTTCAAACTCATGCCGCCACCGGTGCAACGCCGCTATCAAGGTTGCAATCAACATTAGGGACCTCCATATCACTTATGGATGTCAGGAAAATTGGTCAAGCCGAACCATCAAAGCCAATTGTACCAGAGTTTTGCCTGGAGCATGTTTGGACTGATAATGTCAGTCAATGGAGGTAAGTAGTACCATAATTTTTATTATTTCATGCACATTTCAATAAAGCACCAAACAGAGGAGGACGAGAGGCTATACCCCATTTGGCAAAAATATGGAGAACCGCTACTTATTTACTTCAGATTTCAGATTTGAACATGAGCTGTTCTTTTTTTTTCGTTTTACTGCTAAACGGTAGCTATGCCAAATGACCATTATGTCAAACGGGATAGAGCTTAAAATCTGTCCTGAATTAGCTCAGTGTCTTCGGACAATATTTTTTTTTAACGATTGTCAATGTAAAAGAAGGGATAGTTTAAGGACAGCCCTCGTCTTTGACTTTGTCGTGAAGTTTTGTCGTGATTTTTTACCAGCTATTTCACAAAACTTGACCAACAAATTACACAACTCCAAAGAACTGCTCATGTTTGAAAAAAAGGTAAAATCTCGTATATTTTTTTTAATTCTGATCTGTCCTAATTTTATGACAAGCTACTTTTAATGTGCAAAAAATAACTAGAACAACAAAACTCAAAAGAACTGCTCTTGTTTGAAAGAAGGTAAAATCTACTATTTTTTAAACTTTTGCATCACTGATTTACATGAATCAATTTTAAATTGTTATTTTTATCATTTGTATTCAATTTAAAACTTAAAAAGAAAATTTTCTTCTCAAAATTTTACCCTTCTTTTGATCACATGCTGTTCTTCCATTTGTGTTCATTTCGGGGTAATGGCCATTCGGGGTAGTAGGACTGTTTTCTCACCCCAATGGGTCTGAGTTCAATCCCAGCTGAGGTCGGTGGGATTTTTCTGAGGCATAAAAATCTCTGCTCACGTCTTCCTTCGGAAGGGAAGTAAAACCGTTGGTTCCGGCCATGTGTATTGATGAATAGGTGCGATATCATACGCAGGTGTGGAAGCTGCCTTTCTCCACATTCGATGGCAATGGCAATCGATGTCCGTCGGTGATTGGCACTAGATTGCGGAACAGAAACCAACGTTAAATAAAGGGGAAAAATAGCAAATCTTATGGTAATAACAATGAATAACGTCTGCAACGCTAGGCGCATAAACTAATGCATGAGATTTGAGTTTTTGGGTTTTTCCGAACACTGGCTTTCCCACACGCTAAATAAAATTCATGAACATCGGATACAAGGGTGGATTTCTTACATCGTCTGCATATTTTCTTACATAAAATTTAATGTCAGTTCTGTAGCGTACTAGCAAGTTTTTCCAGAATGAAAATATTCGTATAAAACATTCACGCGATGATAGTCACAGTAGATTGTAAAAAAAAAACAAACTATTTTCGCAAATTTGCTAACATAAACATTGCTCAATGATTGTCATTAAAGTTGAAAACTGGGATTCTATAACATTCCCGAAAGACATTCGCCCGAATTCCATTCACCCGAATTTATCATTTACCCGAATGGACCATTAACCCGAAAAAAAATATACAAATTATTATCATATTCCAAGTGTTTGTTTATTTATTCTTTGATAAGATTGTTTTTCTTTATTTAAGAGACTTTCAGCCGTTCTTGATAAGGGTTTTAAAAATGATTACATCTATCCTGGACGGTCCTTTCCATCCAAAAATTTGTACCTTTTGTAGAGTGCAGAAAGAATAATAGCGGCGTTGCATACTACACGCAGAAAAATGGATTTTTGTTTCAGGGCCTAATGTATTTTGTTATTGATTGAAACATATTGTATCACTAGTTCAACGAAACATATTTTTGAATCAACAAAATGGTTTTTGGAATCAACAAACAGATTATTGACTCTACAACCGGTTTGTTGATTCAAAAATATTTTTCTTTGAACTAATCAAATAATATATTTGAATCAATACCAAAAATATATTAGGCCCTGAGCCAAAAATATATCCATTTGAATATAAAAATCATTTCTCTGTGTGTACCCTTTTCAAAATATGGAACAGTGACAAAATTTCATTTTGCTCCAATTACAAACATTATCCAATCGTTTAGATCACGCAGCCCAAAATCGCTGTTAATTTTAAACGCTTGTCGTACCTCAGCTAATGGATCAATGAAAATACTGAGGTTTGGACAGAACTATGCTGTGGCTACCACAGTATTTTACATTTGATCTTCCATATACAGTAGCGCCAAAAGCATGCTGTTCTTCTTCTTCTTCTTCTTCTTCGCATTTCAAGCTTATTGCATACGCATATAAGCTTATTGCGTGCTCTCAACTTAGTGTTCTAGATGCACTTCCACAGTTATTAATTGAGAGCTTTCGATGCCTGTACCATTTTTTCATTGGTATAATTGTGTGGCAAGTCCAATCATACTTCTATGCCCAGGGAAGTCGAGAAATTTTCCAACCCGAAAAATTCCTAGACCGGACCGGGAATTGAACCCAGCCACCTCCAGCATGGTCTTGCTTTGTAGCTGCGTCTTTACACACAAAAAATATTCGTTTGTAAAATTAAAAAAACCATTAGTGGAATTGAAAGTTTGCATTGGTTCTTTTTGGTAGAAAGTCATTAGCATTCAAAACAAAAGTCTGTCAACTCTCAATTCAAAAGTTGCCCGCTCTCTAGTTTTAAAAGTTGAAACTTTCAAAACGAATTGCAGTACTGTGAACTGAAAAACGTTGCAGTGTTGAAATTAAAAGTGGATTATTCTCATTTCAAAACAAACTTTTAAATTACATAGGCTATTTTTAGTCGGAAATAAAATAAATTCATTTTTAGAGCAAGCGTTTCTTAATTTGAATTTTAACAAAGCATTATTATACAGGAAAAAATATTTATTTGCAATTATGTTATAAAATGACGTCTAGAAAGTACTCGTGCTGATAGAACACTTGGTAGGAATCACGACAGGTGATGGTCATCACGAAGAATACCCGGAACGCATGATCCGGTTCCGGACACTGCCATACATTGGAATGTGTGTATACCCGCCGAGTGCCTCGTTGGTCTGCATTTTTCAATTGTACCTTGCTTGTGCCATTCTTTACGCAGAAGAGGAACACCAGGGACCACTACGAGTAACCGGTTTTCTGCAAATACAAAATTGTTTTTTTTAAATTTAACGTTAAGTGTGTTGACTTTCGTTATCAACTAATTTTAACTCACGCAGCGGGTACAGCCATCGTCGATAGCAAACTACGACTTCATAATATCTGATTGATAAACCATGTCTCCGATCAAGCTACTTCCATCGGATCTACCCTCACCGTATGGTCGATCCCTTCCTTCGTTTGTCGCACAACCTGGTCGAACCTGTCCCCGTGAAGTCGTGAATCCGAAGACAACGGTTCTGTCGAAGGCAAAGATCAGATTGAATGAATTCTCGATGATTCCAACGAGCAACCATATTCTGAAATTTAAAATAATATTCAGTTTCTTACTCACACCAACCACGAAAATATCCTCATCAGCCACTTACCACTTTGAAGACAGTTCAATGATTATATTAAACACACTCATATTTAATAGACAATCGAGGCAAATTACAGAATTACATTACGGTCGCTGTTTTTCATTTCTTCTGGAATAAAATTTATCTCGTTTTCGCAGCTGATGTCAACATTCCACAAGTGGAAAAGCCGGCAATTGTAACCCGGGTTGCCAGTAAACGCAGTAATCACATCGTTGAAGAGGTATTTTTGACAGTTAAACACGTTTAATTTTGAAAAATGAACTTTTAAAATTACAAGTTGATCGTGAAAAAAAAAACTTTTATGCCAACCATTTAACTTTTATGTTGACTGTTTTTGTAGTTAGTTCATAGAATTGAGGGGAACTTTTAAATTGAAAATGGACTATTTTTATAGATACAATTTTTGTTCTTTGTGTGTACCGACTGAGCTAAGGGAGGTCCCAAAAAAAAAGCAAAAAGCATGCTGTGGTGGGTTCAAAACTTGACCATCTAAAATGATCAATTGATCATTTGAATAATTAATACGTGGGGAGATCACCGTTTCGTGGTACGCTACGGGATGTAAGATCTACTACCGATTCCTAGTCCTGCCTACTTCAAACTAGGGGAATAGGATTTATCAGTAATCAAAGGAACACATCTTAGTCCTTGTTACTTTTTATGTCTTGCTGATAGTGACAAGACTCGGCTTTGTCCACCGAGGATGATCTTGAAACAAGGGAAACATTTGTTAGTTAGTCTTCATCTATGTGATTCCTAATCTTCTATTCGTTGTTCCCTAGTTTGAAGTGGTTAAGACTAAGATTCTGATGCATGGTCATTATCGGTGTCATTATTTAATTTTGTTGCAATTTTAACTGACACAGGGTCGCACCTTTGGAGGGTGTTTCAACACTCCCCGAAGGGTATAAATAGCAGGACCTTTTAATTAGAATCGGATCCTTGCGATAAATGCAAGAATGACAACTGTAAAAAAAAATCGAATACTTCATCATTTCTCATTAGTGATGGAGGAAAAAAATAGAAATAATTGGCTTGTGTTAGACGGATATTCGGCCACTATTCGCATAGCAGTCCCATGGAAATCCACAGGACATGGGATTGTTATGCGAATAGCGGCAGAATATCCGTATAACAATAGAAATTTACAGCTGCAGGAAATAAGCTTAACTGGTTGAAAGCACCATCCACCGCGCTATTCGGTAAATTCCTGTAACTCAAAAGAACAGCATGTGATAATAAGAATGGTGAATACTCATTGCAGTTTCTCAGTATCTACGAAACATCCCTTGAAAGGGACAATTTTAAAGAAACACCAAAGTTTTAGAATTGAACTCCCATCAAACTTTCTTCTCCAGAAGGTCTTCGTAGCACAAATTTCTAAATCTCCTCTCGTTCAGAGCGTGAAATAATTTATAATGCAAAAGAATAGCATGCACTAAAAAAACGGAGCCACTAGAATTCGCCTAAATACATGTATCTTTTGTTGTAAAGTTGCCCATATAATCGATTTCTTTAGTGCAAAGTTGAAAATGTTTCACTGAAATAATAGGGGTATTAACTATGCGCATCGTAAGATACCAGGGTCCATTGGAGTGTAATGGAAGTTTACGCATTTACGAGGGTGTATACCCCTAATAGCTTATATCGCATCACACGCAAACAGTAAGAGAAGCCAACAGCACGTCAATAATAAATTAACACAACAGTTGTAGCTAGACAGAACATTACTCCAATAAATCACGGCGATCGAGTTTTTCTCCCATTGTATGTTATAAGTAAATATCCTTCTAATATCTATTAAAATGTTGTTTTAATTTCAGAGAATTCCCCGAAAAAGCTTCGAATGGTTTTTTGCACGTCGATATGGTTGGTGATGGCTATCTATGCTATTTGCTGCCTCGCTCGGAGAAACTGAACTTGGTACGGATTGATCATTGTTCCACCGATCGTATAAAAATATCACCGAGCACGCTTTCAATGCAAATTCCAGCTAAAGATGCTGTCTGTATGAAGCGTTTGAATATGATTGCGGTGTTAGCACCGTGTGGGACTCTAATGCTCTATTCTGGACCGACTCAGGTCGGCAAGGTACACGTCGCAGGTATACTGACCAGCTTTGTCACATCTAGTGCACTGAGCAACTCGTTTGGTGCATCCCAGGGCTTTCCACGGCGCAGTAGTTTACTGCCAACGGTGCCGCCTCAAACGGATACGCGATTCGATGACGAGTTGCATATGCTATCTCCGGTGCAACCATTGCACTCTGCAGCGACCTCGTCACGACTGAGCAATTGTTCTAGTATCAGAGATGGATCAGGAAATCGGTTGACTTTAGTGTTTAACAGTGAGAAAATGTTCCGAATTTCATTACCCATAATGACCGAATCTCAGCTGGTGTCACGCTGCTTGTTGGCACTGAGGGAGACCCTTCCCAAACAACTAGCGTTAGACCTGATGATCCGATGGTATGGCACGAAGAACGCACCCGGTTCGAGGGATTTCGACGGGAATCGAGAATGGGATGCTTTTGGTGGAATGCTGTTCCAGCAAATGGGCAGGCCATTTCCGCCTCCTGACAGCCGATTGAATAAATCCAATTCTAAATCGTCATTCGACGAACCGAAGAAGCGACGTAAGAGTGAAAACTGTCTTGGAACGGATAGCGATTGGGAGTATTTGATTGGGCATAGTGGAGAAAACAACACACCAGACAAGGATACAGAAGCAATCGCTCCGATTCCTTATGGGTCAGACAAAGCACTGTTTGAACACATCCCCAGTATTCTTTATGCGTTACATTTGGTCTACGAGGACTTAAAGCTAGAGCCCCTCTTGCGAATCGAACTTAAATTGCTGGCCGAATTTCTGTACGAACTGTCGTTGGATGTAAAACTGGAAAAGTTTCAGCTGCATTACTTTTTAGATTTCCAACATTTGGTTGATCTTCGGTCCTGCTGTTTTATAAAGGAAGAAGCTAAGACCAAATTTGTGAACTTGTTTGATGCTGACTTTGAAAATATTCCCAGGATATTTCCCTACGTTCATGCGTTGATTGCAAATCCCAACAAAACCGGTCTGGAAAGCTATCCCTGTATGGAAAGAATCAACAGCCGTAGTCGAGATGTAATTTTGATCGTAGCTTATCTTTATCGGGCCAAAGGTCTGTCAAAATGGGTTACGAAACAATTTGAGAATCTATTTGATAGTTGGAAGGTTACTGCACTGGACGATGTCGATAAAACGATGGCTACTGTAGTGATCCGAGTGCTGATGAAGCGAAGATACAATCGCTTGACCCTAGAAAAGTTGCCCGTAAGTATACACTATCTGATAGCACAGTTTCTGGAAACCAATCGCAACAAACCGATCAATATGTATGACGCGGAAGTTTACGAACTGCTACTCAGACCGGAACTGTATGCTCATGCAACATTCGATGCCCAAAATCAGTCGGTTCGAAGCAAAAAACATACCAGTGGATTGAAGGAAAATTCCCTCTCGCTCCGTCGAAAAACTCAACCAGAGGTCATACCGAAAAATGAAGCCAAACAAGAGGAAAACGGCATGGAAAATATCGACACAAAATTGTTGAGATTGCGTTTTCCAGATGATTTGAGGATCAACGATGTTAAATCGTTCCTCAACAGTTCACAACCAGTGACAATCGATATCGTGCAAGCTCCCAATGTTTCGGATCATGATTTTATCGAGGAACAAGAGAAGCAGTTGTACGCTTTGTGTATTCGAACAATGGCTCTCCCGATTGGCCGTGGTATGTTCACTTTGAGGGCCAGCCGCCCGACCGCAACGCAGACGCTGCCCATTCCCAAACTGTGCTTAACTGGCAAAGAGATACACCGAGGTGCCACAATTGAAATCCAGCAGCTGGAAGTTCCTCCTAACATGAATCTATGGCCAACGTTCCATAACGGGGTTGCAGCTGGTCTGAGGATATGTTCCGATACGCCTGAGATTGACTCCACCTGGATTACGTACAATAAACCGAAAGGAGTTTCCGACATTCCAACGGAACACGCCGGCTTCTTGATGGCACTTGGGCTAAACGGTCACCTAAAGTCTCTTTCGTTTATGAGCATCTATGAATATTTAGTAAAATGTGACGAAATGATCAGTTTGGGTTTGCTACTGGGCATTTCAGCTGCCCATCGGGGTACGATGGACATAAAAACAACTAAGCTGCTAAGCGTGCACATAGAAGCGTTACTTCCTCCGACTGCGGTTGAGTTGGATATTTCGCAAAACATTCAAGTAGCATCGTTGATGGGTATCGGGCTCGTATACCAAGGAACAGCCAAACGGCATATAGCGGAAGTGCTACTGCAGGAGATAGGACGACCCCCTGGCCCGGAAATGGAAAACTACGTGGAACGAGAATCGTATGCCCTTACGGCTGGCTTGGCGCTAGGATTGGTAACCCTAGAACAAGGAGAGAAATCAACTGTCCTGCGTGATTTAGATATCCCGGATACTCTACACTACTATATGGTGGGAGGCAACAGACGTCCCCTTGTAGGTGCCCAAAAGGAGAAATACAAACTACCTTCCTTCCAAATCAAAGAAGGTGATACAGTAAATATTGATGTCACAGCCCCTGGAGCTACCCTTGCCCTAGGTTTAATGTATTTCCGCACCGGAAATGAAGCAATCGCTAACTGGATGAAACCTCCCGATACAACATACCTGCTCGATTTTATTCGTCCTGATCTGTTGCTTTTGAGAATTGTAGCCAAGAATCTTATCATGTGGCACGAAATCGATGCCTCGACTGACTGGGTTTACAGCCAAATTCCTCGAGCGTTATCGGAATTGATTAGGAATCGGCTCTACACTGATCATCAAGCGCAACCGACGGACCATGAAGCGCAATGTCAGGCCTATTGCAATATCGTCTGCGGGGCAGCTATCTGTATTGGCCTAAAATACGCCGGCACGGCAGATGAGCGCGCGTTCACAACATTGCACTTCCTGCTTAAATACATCCTTGGACTCAATGGTCGACCTTTCGGAGACTTTGCCGGTAAACAAACACTTGAAAATTGCACAATGATGATTTTACTCTCGGTATCCCTGGTACAAGCCGGTACCGGGGACGTAAGGGTACTGCGGGCAATCAGAATGCTGCGATCCAGATTTGGACAATGTCACGTCACGTACGGATCTCATATGGCAGTCCACATGGCATTAGGATTTCTGTTCCTCGGTGCCGGACGTTATACACTATCGCGTTCGCCTGAGGCAATTGCCGCGCTGATATGTTCAATCTTTCCGAAGTTTCCCATTCACAGCAATGATAATAGGTATCATCTGCAAGCATTCCGACACCTGTACGTGCTAGCAATCGAGCCAAGACTATTTCTTCCACGAGACATAGACACCGGGAAGTTGTGTTTATGTGAAATCTACTACTTGGAAAAAGGCAAGACGGAACCGGTTAAAGTGATGGCTCCATGTATGCTACCAGAGCTTCATACACTCAGCAAGGTGTACGTGCAAGATCACAACTATTGGCATGTGTACTTCGATCAGGAGAATTGGCACAATTTAGAGTAAGTATTTGATCTTATACTCATTTTTTGGTTGTACGACATTTCGTGGACTTCCATTTGTAGGAATGAACCATTTCGCGAAATCTCATTTGGCGTAATAGCCTGTCTTGCGGAATTTCCATTGGCGGAATGTTTAAATCTGCATTTAATAATTTTAGAAAAATTTTCCGTCTTTCAAACTTGAGTAGTTCTTTCGAATTTATCTTTATCTTTATTTTGACACCAACAAATAAAAATAAAAATCAAAACAGAATGCGGGGAAATGGGGTATTCCGCCAATTAAAATTCCGTGAAATATGGCATTCTGCGAGATGGAGCATTCCGCCAAATAGTTTTCTGCAAAATAATATATTTCTGCGAAATGTCGTACCTACAATCTTTTGTTTCAGCATGCTGCATCCTTATCAATTATCAACGGGGGTAAATTAAGCCCTTGGGCGCTCATTTTTTATTGCATTAGCATACATCATGTTTCAGAGAATTGATTGGTCAAATTGAGCGCTCAAGTAGTTTGTAGGGGTAACCCACTGACGATAATAGGTACAGGTTTCCGAAGCTGACAGTTCTCCGATGTAAAGCTTCATTCCAGTATTTAACTTACGATTGATAGGGTTTTTAAATATTATTTCTCTTTCGAAAATTTCGAAAAACATTTCTTTTTTTTTTGCAGGAATATCCTCAAAGCTAGTGGATGCATTGATTTGAAGCAACGCGCTGGTTGCCTATCCTACTTAGAAGATCCTAACCGTCTAAAATCAATGCTAACGCAAACGCTGACGACCAGTAAATACAACTCATGGAAAATCGACGCAAACGGCTTGCTAGCATTCTCAACGGATCAAAGAATTTCGAATATAGCAACTAAATTCTTGCTCCCTGCGGAACACAGTGAAATCGACGAAATCGAATCGATACCCGCGGCGGAACGAAGTGTGATCCAAATGCTAATGCTACAAACGTACGACTGTATCACGCATGACAAAATGCACGGATTGACGATTTTCATGGATTTGATGAATGTAAGACATCATAGTTTTATGCCATTGAGTTGATGCAAAAAAATTCCTTTTTGTCCCATTCCAGTTCATCATCAATTTTAATTCATCTTGCAATTCCTCCGAACTATGGCAGTTCCGTATAATCGCTTCTATCATTGCCAGGCGAAGAGCAATAGCTGAATCCGACATGCTTATATCGCAAGATATGTTACAATCGTTGGTCGATCGCATTCGCCTACGTATGGAGCAAATATTGAAGGAAAGTAACCACCTGATTCGTTCGTACGTTGTAGGCGTCCCGTCGGAACGCCCTCTAGCCGAGTTGTTGTCCGAACTATGCGATGATGGTCGGTCGCGGATTGTCAGGCTAATGACATTCTATGACTTACCTAATAGAATCCTTAGTAATGATGTGCTGGAAAGAATCGGCCAGACAGACTACCTGCAGTTTGTCTGTGGCATGAAAGAACAATACCCTGAACTGACTACTGCAACAATATGCTGCATGGCAGAGGCTCTTGGACTAGAATCGGTACGAGGAACATTCTAAACAGTAAGTTAGGTAGACACGTTTATTTGTAAGCATACTTTTGAAAAGAATGAATTATCCAACAAAATAATGCACCCTTCAGTAGTTGATTTATCACAATCCATCCAATTGATTACATCTAGTTAAAGCGGGTTTTATGTTAATTCTTCTTTCTATTGAATATTCCTAGCTTGAATCCAATTGGAGCCAGCTATCAATTTGTATCCCAGTTTGGTAAACAAGTGTATAGAGTTTACATTTTTATCAACTATGAACAAGTTTACAGTTCCACCATCTTCGAGAGCAATTTTTTTGGTAATTGCCTTGGCTAGTAGTTCTCCGTAACCCTTTTGACGATGGTTTGGCATGACCTGTAAATGACTGGAAAAATATAACGACACACATATTCGATATAAGTAGGAGGTGAACATAGTGCAAGTATCAACAGGTTCACTGCTGGCTTCAAAAGAAGGCAAACCATCATTGGGATTGCATTGAACCTGTTGATATTGACAAACAAATAAATTATTAAAAGTACTAACTGACTCATCCGACGAATTTGTGGTCGGTTTTTTAGCTCCCATATAAAGCCCCACCAAGGTGTGCTAAGATGGCGATTTTTTTCTAATGTAGTAATCGCACTTATTTATAATAGTTCCAGTGCACTAAAATTGACGAAATTTTGGATTTCGGTTCCATTTTAATGCATATTACGAATATGTATTATTAAAAGTACATTAACATGTACATCTAACCTTAATACCCTTAAAAACCAAGTTGCTTTCAAAACCTTAACGAGACACTTACCACGCCACCGACACCGACATTTTATTTAAAAAAATATATCAAACATCTAAACAGCTCAGATAATTCCTGAGATTATGAGGGAAATGTGAAAAAAGATTTTTTTTTTCTAAATCATCATGGTAAAATCAGAGACAAGCAAACATAACACTAGCATGTTTTTCATCGAACATGCATTTAACGGCCAAATCCACATCGGCTGAATTATCAAATCATAACGTAATAAATCGGGTCCTGCCGGAGCCGGTGGGGTAGTGGTAAGTGTGACTGCTTTCTAACACCCCGATGGGTCTGGGTTCAATACCAGCCGAGGTCGGTGGGATTTTTCTGAGGCATAAAAATCTCTGGTCACGTCTTTCTTCGGAAGGGAAGTAAAGCCGTTGGTCCCGGCCCATGTGTGTTGTGAATGGGTGCGATATCCTAAGCAGGTGTGGAAGCTGCCTTCCTGCACATTCGACTGCCGTCAATGGATGGCAATCGATGTCCGTCGGTGATTGGCACTAGATTGCGGAACAGAGACCGACGTTAAATAAAGAAAAATAAATCGGGTCCTACCGAATGCGATTATATAAATACCATATAGGGGAAATGGCTCTAATGTTGGACTATAGATCTAAGATTGGGCCCATTGCTAAAAATCTGTTATTTATCAATTTTATCTCGATGAACGCGATGAATGAATCATTTTGGTCGCTTTTGAAAATTTAGTCGATTAATGAATTTATGTATGGGCCCAGATTAAGGGCATTTAGGTCGGTCGACATTACATTCATTTTCCCTATACCAGAATTGCTGCGATCTACACCAGCACAATGATTAATTGGCTTTTCAACTAACCAAATAGCGGTGTCTGTGGTGTAGTGGTAAGCGTGATTGCCTCTCATCCCAGTCGGCGCCACCGGGATTTTCTGAGGCATAAAATCTCTGATCACGCCTTTCTCCGGAAGGGAGGGAAGTAAAGCCGTTGGTTCCAGTCCATGAGTTTGTTGGGTCGATAGGTAGGGTCCAGGTGTGGGATCTGCCTCCCTGGCGCCGGTAGCATTGGTACTCAGTACGGAAAACAATATCGACGGAAAACAAATCAAGGAAAAAATAGCATCCACAATTCTCATCGTCAAGGGCCAAATATGCTAGAACTTCAAATTCGATTGCCTATGTTGAAACTGACAACGATGCAAACTCCCATGCACACTTTGTGCCCTTCTCAAATTACACCTTTATCGGTAATTACACACGACAGGTAGTCGCCTTTAATAATTTCCAAATACATCAGCATGTTACCAAGAACCTATATCAGTCTTTGTCTCTCGAGGTTCTTTTCTCTCACTGAGATGTGCCGACCAAGAAAATAATTAAATAAACATTCATTCGGATTTAGTCAAACATTCATTCGGATTTAGTCAACCATGGAGTGACGTTCTTGTTGAGGACATCCATCGCGAAATAGCCTTCTCCTGTAAACACACGAAAAGGTGCTCATGCCCGTTATTTTTAATAGTTGTCGATGGCCATATTTTAAGTTGAATTTTGCGTATTTCCCAATCACTTCGGCTATACATTCGTAATTTTTCAAGTAACAATTCAAGCTGAAGTTGTAGCATCATAGAGATCCTATCATCACGTGCTGCCCGTGGGTCGCACTTTGCCCATAAGTTTAACAGAGCATTCCGCTCAGACCCAGCCCATCCTCTGACATTGCTGCAAACGGCATAGTATTAACCGGTGGAAACTAACGATTTTAAAATGGCTCACTACTTGACTAGCCTATTGGTCCCAACCAAAATCGATTAACGTACTCCATTCTAGTCGAAATTCCAGTACTACACTATGTCTGTTTTGATTTGCTATGAAAGTTTGACAAATAAAATGAGGGGTTCGTGGATTTTCCTATGTTTCGAGGGGTGCATCGATTAGCTTGGGACCGAAGATAGTACCAGAGCAGAGCCAAAAAGTTGAGCACGTTTCTTCGAAACCTTCTGGTCTTAGAGTTACCTCTATAGTATCAAAGTGAACACAACGAGCTGTCTTATTGATATATGTCGAAAAGTAAAATATGTCAAGCATTTTATTTCTTGATTTTAAAATCGAGATAAAAGTCAATGGAAACAAATAAAAAATCATTGTGCTCAGAAAAATTATCACTTTCAGACACATTTTTCATCATTAAAAAAAAACTGGCATTCATTGAGCTTTAATTAAAAATAGAGTGTTCTTGAAGCAATTACATTTTTTTTAAATAAATAATTCAATTCCAAATCATCGGTCGAATGCCAGTCAAATTTGGATTTGGCTTTCCGAAAAAAGAACAAAGTTATTCGGCCGAATAGCGCCAAATTCAATGATTATGGTAAGAAAAATTTCAAATATCCTACAATTGAGCAGGTAAGGAAAGTAGTGCAAGTGACAAAACAAAAAAACATGAAAAATTTTATCTACCAATACTATGAGCAAACAAACATTATTAGCATAAGGGTCTATCCATATATTGCGTCGACACTTGAAGAGGGTATTTTTAATAAGTATGGGGGAGTATGATTATGGGGATTTTACTCTAAATTTTAAATCTTATGCCCTTATCCTCTTCCCCAAGATCCAAGATATGTTGATACCCTTCTTCCTTCTTCTTCGTGTTCTAGGCTTACTAGGCTTCTGTAACGAGCGTTTTGCTGGCTCTCAACTTAGTCTTCTATATGCACATCCACAGTTATTAATTGGGAGCTTTCTATGCCAACCAATGCATGAATATCAGCTCTATGATAAACGTACAGAAGTCATCATGGGTAACCAATTGACTACAAAGTTGAAATGAATCAGTTAAGCAAGCATGCTATTCTTTTGCTATAAAAAATTGTTTTCCAGAATTATGAATTCATTTGATGTTATGATGAGGATTTGATGACTTGTAAGTTACAAGAAAAGGTTGCAATTTATTTTCTATAGTTTGTTTCTCTTTCTCCCATCGTTTCATTCGTATATCTTTCAAGCTTCGGTGTAGCAGTGAAAGAGCGTTCGACTTTGATCAGTTCGTCTTACATGAGGTACATCAACCGACCTTTCATGACGTATGTGACGGAAAATGAAAATATATCAAGCTGAACAATTGGTTCTAAGTAACATTGATCGATTCACTTCATCGACTTTCTCTTTCGTTAATAACTTGAGTACAGAACCGTTTCTTGTCGTTTTTGACATATTAGATGCTAGATAATAGCTTCTTTCATCGATCTGTGTACTTGATATAGCTGGAAATGTCTTAACTTGGCCATGGAGATGCAAAAAGATAACCGACGAAGAGAATCTGTCAATGTTACTTAGGACCTGATGCATTGTTCAGCTTGATATATTTAAAACATTTCGCGCATCCGGCCGTGTTCCGGGAATCCCCGGCCCCAGTTTCTAGCTAATTAGGGTTAAAATACATCATGTGATTAGTAAGAAGGGCCAGATTTTGACATTGTAGGATAATTTAACGTTTTTAACTATGTTCTCTATAAAATCGTGTGTGGGACAAAGCCTTGGCTGTCCTCCCCAGGTATTTTTGTGTGTAGGATATGTACCATCTGTCCCACCCATTCCTCGCGCCTCTGCTTGAAGATTACAGGTAATATGTTTAATTTATCTTCCAGACACATATTTGAAATTTAATGAAAACAAGGCATAACACATATTAAATACATTGAAAGAGTAGGTGACAGAGCGGCGGTGAAAGGAATTGAAAGCCAATTGATGCTTCGTTTCAACTCGAAAATCGACTTCCATTGAAAGGAAGTGAGCAAAGCAAGACAAAAAAAATCCACAGCTAGCCTTTCATTCTTAACGTGCTTCATTTTCATTTTCGTTTGGCGTTGGCTAGACAGGTGTTATTGAAATGATGTGTTAAGGTGAAGGTTCATGGAATTCCTCCACTTCGCGTTTTCAAAATTAAATGAGGTGCTTGCTGCTCTGCAGCAGACATATAGATTAATTTTGAAATTTGTTCATTAAGTAGATCGCCAGATGTGTGCCCGTGAGATTGCGAAGTGGTAAAACAAATAGGGTAAATTATGGCTTCGGCACCCATTGACTGTTTTCGGCAACCGAAATTGAAACGTTAATTTCACTGTATTTTCCCATCAAAACTCTTCGCTGAATGTATAAAGCCGATTCCTTACCTTTTCAGCTTCAACCTGATTACATTTTTACGACTGTGCAATCCTGTTATGCCATATTTTTCTTTAAATGAAATATACACACTACAAAATACGGCTGATTTCGAGTTGCCGATAATAGAACAACTGGTTAACACGCAGTTCAAATGGAA